CAGTTATTTATTTTGACAAATACTATGAGCCTCCAGTGGCTGAAGACGCCGATGGTGCTCTGCCCTGTGCTGCTGAAGAAGAGCCTGCTCGCCCACCAGCTAGCGAGGCAGACAGGCCTGCGGAAACAGACCCAGCTCCCTGGGAGTGCGTGGAGATGGAGGATGTGCAGATTTCCTCCAGGGGGCCATCCCGGATTTGCATGAGGAAGTTAGACAGTGATGAGGAGACAGCTGGAGTGCTAGATTGGCTGCCCAAAGAGAAGGCAGATCAGTTCTCCATCATGGCCGTCGTAAGTAGCTTGGCAGGGCTGGGCGTGCGGGCTTTCCTTTGCACCTCTACTGCCACACCTGCCTCAGGGCAGAGCCACGCTGACCATTTATTTCTTCTTTTCAGAATCTGTTCAAAAGACTCGTCCCTTACCACTGTTTGAATTACATCTATGCCAAACATGACCAGAAGGAGAGTCTGGAGCGCCTGGCACCCACTCTGCTTCCCATCCTGGAGCATTGTGAGCAGGTCTCCAGTTGTGTGATCAGCACGTGCCTTGGGGACCACAGCATGGAGGCAGCAGAGAGAGCCCAAGTGGTGCAGCACTGGATAGAGGTGGCTCTGGTATGAGCTCAAGGGGCCCAGGGACCCTTCTTCCCTTTCCCACTCCCACCAGGTGGCTGCCTGCTCACTCACAGCCTCTGCCTAGCCTTAAAGCCCTCCTCCTACTCTGCCCTCACTTGGGCTGTGTGCATTCCTGCCCTGCTTCCACTGTCATTCCCCTCCCCCAAGCTGTCCCAGTTCAGCCCAGTAACAAAGGCCCAGCCCAGGCCAAGCAGGACCCCAGGAGTTTCCTCCACAGCTCTCCTCACCCATTCTTCACTCCTAGGAGTGCCACCTACGAAAAAATATCTCCACCTTCTTTGGAATTGTGTGTGCTCTGCAGAGCAGCCAGCTCCAAGGCCTGAAGAAGACGTGGAGATTGGTTGGCAGGTGGGTACACCTTTCTCCTGGGCAACTCTTGCTTCCTCAGCTTAGCGTCCATCTTCTGGGAGCCCAATGGCAGTGCCCCATGGCAGAGACCACAGCTCTATGGCCTTGCCTAGGATTCGCCTGCTAGGTTGGGATTCCTCTTCTGCCATACATTGCACAAGGCCCTTGGAGAAGTTTTCCCTCAGAGACATCACAGCTACACCAGTCTGTACAGTGCTCTTCCAAGCAAAACCACTCTGGGAATTGGGGTGGAGCTGGAGGTTTCCCCTCAAGACTTTGCTCCTAACCATGTGACCTAAGGGTCACAGTGGCTCTCCCTGCACAGCTCTGTTCCCATTAGCATAAAGTCCTGCCTCAAAATGGGAAATCCATTCACACTCCTCCTCTCCCTTCCTCTCCCATCTGTCACCTTGTCTCTGCCCATCGTCCAGGGAGAAAGTAGCTGTCTATCAGGACCTGAGGAGGATACACTGCCAGGAGCAAGTCTACAAGGTTGTATGAGCCCCAGAATAAGATTTGACCCCTGGACGGAGGCGAGGGAAATTTTCTCTCTGATGGAATTCAAGGAGCATATCCAACATAGCTAGGAGAAGCATCCGTCATAGGCTTGGGTGTGGGACAGATTGTATAGGGAACAGGAGGCCCCTGGGGACCCAGTGGAGTGAGTGGAGGAGGCCACCTGGGTGTCTGAGGAGGGTGGAGAAAGTGACAGGGTTGGGTTGTCAAGGTTGCTGCTGAGATTTCCTGTCAAGCTTCCTCCTGAGTGTGGCCTGTGTTCAGGCTGCCTCTCTACACCCCGCCAGCCTGGCACGCCCAAGCCATGCCCTGGCTCTATTTCTGGGTGGCCTTCCCATCCCAGGAGGGAAGCCTAGCCAGTCACGTGAGGTCAGGAGGTCCCTCCAGATCAGGCAGCCACAGAAACATCTTTTAGGGGATGCAAATGGCCACATCCACCATGGAGACAGGCCTTGGCATATGCTCTGGCCTGCCCAGGGATACAGTGCTGATGGTCCCAGAGAGCCTGAGATCCTAGGGCCCAAGCCATGGCTGTCACACCACATGGCAAGAGGGGACTCTGGAGGGTTGAATGGTTAGAGAATGAGCATGTTCCACATCCATGCTAACTGCTGCCAGGGGCGAGAGTCCAGATACAAGAGCTTCTGGAAGAAACTCAAGAGAGGCTGCAAGACGCCTCAACAATTGGTGAGTGTGCATGCCTGAGGCCAGGGGCTTTCTAGAAGGAGTAGTTGAGGGGGGTCCCCCAACCCACCCGACCTGTTGGCCCACTCCCTTAATGCCCCATCACACCTGGCCTCTGCTCAGATGGCATGTTGCAGCAATGAGTTGCAGCCACTGCACTAAGGCCTGCACAAGAGTAGAGGAGCAGGTGAAGGACAGGGCCACAGACCTTGCCCGTGTGTCAGGTGCCAGCCCTGGAGGGGCCCAGACCTAGATAGATTTCCCCATGCAGGGCTGTGTCTTTGGTATGGGGTAGAGGGTGGATCATTGAGGAATGAGCCTGTCTTGCCCCAAGTTCTGCTAGACAGATGGCTCCATGGGGCTGGGGTAAGTCGGGTTCTTGCAAGGAGCTTAACAGGACTCTTCTGATCTTTCTGCACCCAATGCCACAGGACTATCCCGAGGGCACAGTCCCTTACCTGGGCACCATCCTCACACACCTGGCCTCAC